AGGGTCGGTGTCAAGAGACTCCCTAGATCAGTAATAACCCGCTGTTCTTAGTGAGGCTGGAAAGATACGGCAATTCAATGAAGACACACTCAGAGCTGATTGCAAGTCATTACAACCACCACAGGGAGAGCCCAGAGGAAGGAGCTTAATGGCTGAGGGAGAAGAACAGTCTGAACCCCCCTCTGCCCACACACACCTACAAACACACACAAACTGTGAGACTGACACTCTTCCACTCAAGACACAGTATCTGTGTGTCCTTCCACGCTCTCTCCAGTCCACATCCTAACAGATAGTCGGAAGCAGTGGTGCGCCAACATCCCGCACATGCACGTTCCATGATTTCGTTTTATGATTATGCCATCACGGCAGAGCTTGTTTAAGACCCCATTAGAATCAAAAGGGCGACAATCTTCATAATCAAGCTTAATTTATTAAAACATCAGCTGGCACCATTAACATTAACAGGGTGAGGCAGGGAGGCTGCCATAAAAGAGAAGAGACCGTTTCATAGAGATCACTCAGCCAAATGCAAACATCAAAACGGCCACGCAGCATTTTGCCATTCCTCTGTAACAACAGAGGTCGCATCTTCCTCTGAGGCTGGCAACATTTTTTTTTTCTTTTTTCCAAATTCAGATGTGGAAAAAGTGCTTGCCTGTTTGCAGGTCACATGTTTTATGACAAATATTACCTGAGTAAACACAATCTACAATTTTCCATTGCCTCGTAGTTTGATTTAGTTAAGGGGACATTAATTTGAATAACATTTCATAATCTACTTTCATAAGAAGACCTTTCAGTTTTGGAATTAGTGAAAACTTTCTGTATCACTTTCGGCCTAAGGCGTACTCTTTAGTTTAAGTTGGATTAAAGCTTTTAAAACATGTTTTATTTTTTATTTGAAAGGGTATTTACCAGTACACAAACACCACCTTGGTGGACACTGCTAACCTTAGATGCCCCACAAAATCAACTCATCAGTAATGGCGTTTATTCTCCTCTGTAATTCTGCGACCAATATTTTCTGCATAATCTAAAAAACAACTTAGGCATTGCTTAATGTCTTCAGATGGGGTGGCTTTTGATATTTTTTAGCTTTCTTCATGTTGCCAGACTTCTCTTTAAGTCTGGCAACTTGATTTTATTAGTTAATCTAGGCAAGGCTATGACTAATGAATTTTATATAAATGATGTGGTCAATATTTCATACTTTAAAAACAGCAAATTTGTCATTACTCTGATATTAATATTTGTTTAAGGGGCAGATATTTTGTCCCAAAACTCTGTTCTTTCCTTTGACTCACTTTGTGCTCACAGCCAGCCAGCTTTAACACTCTTCCCACAAAGTAAAGCTCCTTATGTGTATTGATGTACACCATTGACAAGTCAATTCAATTTACCTTAGGAAAATGGCTAGTGTTTTTATTAGGCTAATTAGTCAGCGCCCTGTGGGAGCTGTGGGATGAGCAAGATAAGAGATGAAAGCTTAGCTCTCCTGTAATGTCTATCAGGCTAAATACACTCAGACTATGGCAGTTTCTTCAAGAGAAATTATTCATGTTCTCAAACCATAAATAGTACAAACGTAAACTATTTTTTATATTAACAGTGGGAGCAATAGTTTAATACATTAACAAGTCAAAATGTGAAAACAGTTCATTATCAGCTTGAATTTTGTGTCACTTCAGAGGCTTGTTAGTACAACTTTTACCACCAATTTGATGTTTTCACAATTCACAACAGATTTAGAAGCCTCAACAATTTCAGGGATTAAAGCCAAGTGTTTTGTCAGGCTGGTCAAGCAGCTGCAGAGTTGGTCAAAGTGCTCCTGTTGCAGCAGTGAGACAATATGAGGGGATCTAAATCTGATTCATTTGAAATAAAGTTAAAAACTCTGCTAGCTTTTCCACGTTTGCATCTTTTATGAATGCCATCGATTGCTGAGAGGTTGTAAAGGATTCCAAATAGTCCTGTTGCATAGAGGTACCATTCAGGAAATGACGCAAACAGCTTTGGAGGTTTTGCTGGGCATTTGCAGTTTTAAGTATTGAGGAGAATGAAAAGATTCTCTTCTAGACAAGAAGAAAACTATTTGTTGTTACAAAGTTGTTGTTTTTTTTATTTATTTGTTCTATGATGAGTTGAAAAAAACAAAAACAAATATTTAATAATTTGATTTTTTAACCACAAATGGAAGCTTAGCATATGCAGACTTTTAGCCTTTACCTTAGAGTGGAAGCACTTTATTAGCACAAACTCCATATTTGGACCGAACAAGCCTTGTCAGCTTTCCACCAAGATGAGGTGACCGCTATGACTTCCTGTGAGTCTTAAATCACAAATTCCTCTATTAAAGTGAAAACATGGCAAACACCACTCCTTAACATCAATATGCCGATATCACAGAGATCATTAGTGTATTTATTTAACGAAATATGTCGCCATGGTTAATTGAAGACATGTTGTAGATGAAGAACAAAGAGCAAAACAAAAAATATATAGAAAAAAAACAACAACAAAAAAAACAGTAAGAGTTTAGAGAATTGTAAGAAGAAGCCTGAGCTCACCAGAGCTGGTACACCTCTGGTGTATGATGTTTTTTTTTAAATTTATTATTATTATTTCCCATTCTTGCATCTGTCAGCAAAAAACACACAAAAACAATGACATGCTTCTGATTCAATATGGACTTCCACGGCAAACACACAAGAAACACTCCGGCTGTCAGACTCATGCAGACTTGAACTCAAAGTGGCACCTGTGACATACATATGCACAAACATCAAGTCTGAAAAAAAATAGCATCCGGGCTTATTAGTGTACAGGCTCGAAAGAAAACCTCCCATCTGACATGCACAGTGTACACATACACCAATATGTCCCCTGCTGAGCTGCGCAGACAGAGACCCAGAGGTGGGAACTGCGGACGGGCGGCGAGGAGCTCCCTTGCCGAAAGCCTTATTGATTGGGATAAAGGTCTTTTGATGAGGCAGATTGCTCATCAGGCTGGAACGACATGCTTCTCAGATGTGACGCCTTTTCAGACCAGCCCAGGGGCCCATCGACCAAGGCATAGCCATCGTATCTGAGTATGTTAGTGCGTCTGTCTGTCTGTCCTCTTGTGCACGCTTAGGAGTAGCAAACATTGATTTGAGATAGGCCCATCTGGGTCACTCTGGCCCCACCCTGACATGTCCTCTGCTGGAGGTAAGGACATGTCTGGTGATTGTTGCTGAACTTCATGCTCCAGTCATGATGCACTTCAGATAACATGTCGAACTGCAGTTGATGAAGCATACTAAAAGATGCTTTATTAAATTCTGAAAAAAAGTGTAGATCAAATAAATAAGAACATATCTATTTTGGTTTGAATATGCCAAGACACTAAACACCTCCGTTGTAGTTTTTCCATTGTAAATAAAGAGAAAAAGTGGCTTAATCAATATTCACTTATACAGGATGTGACATGGCAAAGTCCAAGGTGGTCAGTTTCATATACAGGTCTAACCCAAGAGACCTTTTCTAAATCTCCAGTCATTCGTTACCTTTCAAACATGCTCTTATGGCTTTTATTGTATTTGCCAACCTACTTAAAGTCAAAGAGCCAAAATGTCTTTCTAAATACAGCAACACAAATTCAAGTCAGCCAATCACATGACAGAAACTCAGGCCACGTAAATGTGCTGAAGATGTTTAAAACATCAGCATGAGAAGATGGGGGATTTTAGTGATTTTGATTTTGCATTGGTTGCTAGGAGCTGATATCTGAGTTTTTCAGAAACTGTTGATCTGACCAGTCTCTGAAAAAGAGAAAATGTATCAATGAGGTAGAGTTGTGTGACAGTAAAAAGTCTTGTTGATGTCAGAGGTCAAAGAAGAATGGGAAGATTGGTTTGACAGGACGGTTGTTCGCTAATCACATAACAACTGCGACATTCATATGGTAGGATCAGAATTTAGAGTAAACTATATGAAAGCAGGGATCCATCCTGCCTTGCATCCAAAGTTCAGTGGTGTAATGATGTAGTAAATATTGTCTCAGCACACTGTGGGACCCTTAGTACAGAATGAATATTGCTTAAATGCTTAAAGTATTGTTGCTGTATCCAGTGGATGCTTCTAGAGGAGTAATGCACCATATGACAAAGCTTTCAACTTTCACAAATTGGTTTCTCGAAGATGACTGTGACTTCAGTAATTCTTGCCACAGTGTTTGCTCAAAGGACTTTGCCATATTTATAAATGTTCTGAGCTCAGGTGACATTTACAGTACTTTGAAATAAAGAACAAAAATAAGTTAGTTACTTGACAGCCTTGTAAATTACAAAAAAAAAAAAAAAAGTCTCCCCCATTTGATGCTCAGGTTTTCAGAGGTCAGCAGAAGGGGAAACACACTGGCTGAGACTACTTGGATACCCAGGCTCTTAATAATTGATATGAATTGATTTTAACCCAGTTCTGACCTGAGCCTGGATGGACATGCAGTGCTGTCCATGCATGAAAACGTGCCCATGTGTCTGCATGTGTGTGTGTGTTGCATTCACAAACTTATGAAGCGATGCTTTTACTGTAACCCCTAAAAAAGATGAACGTGTGGTTTTGTGTCTGCACAGCACACGCATGGCAGAAGAAAAGAGGGCAGTGCGGTGATCTTTAAAAGCTCCTGACGTGCTCCTAGAATGAAATATTTAAGCAGACGAAGCCTTGACCTCCCCATGCTCGCCAAGCGTGGTTCCCATCGATTTCTGACGAAACAACTGGGACACCATTACAACAAAATGCACTATGGCTGACCACACATGCCCTCTGACACTTTCACCAGTTGGAGCCACATAACTGTCTCTGTCCACTGAGCCTATTATGCTTCTGTATGCACATCTGCTGCAAATATCCATATGTAAAAGTTTGCACTCTGAATGTGTTTCCTGTATTTCGGTAACTGACAAGTCAAACATGGGAGAAAACTTAAGCAAAAAAAAAAAAAGAAAGTCACATACCTGATTAGAACCAGATCAGGAACCAGCAGCACCATGGAGACACACGCAGCATGTCCATGTCCTCCAGCCTGAGACAAAACAAGTTTTGGAGCCAACTGGTTAAAACTACTACTTTTATATATTAAAAAAATAAATAATGAAAAAGTGAAACTCAAACATTTATTACAAAGAGTGATATTTTCAAGTTTTTATTTTGATGATTATGACTTATGGCTGATAAAAGCCCTAAATGTTTCTTGCAACATGAATGTTATAAATGACTATTAAATAAGAACAATAACATATTTTTAACAAAGAAACGTCTTCTTAAATGTATGCTCATGCACTGCAGAGTGAATGCTCTCGATATTTAATTGGCGCTTCTTTCACATGAATTGCTGCATCAATGAAGCGCGCCATGGAGGTGATCAGCCTGTGGCCCTGCAGAGGTGTTAAGGAAACCGAGGTTGCTTTAATAGAAGCCTATGACATGGAATAATGTTTCTGTATTATTTATTATTTGTTATATGTTCTTATTTTATGAGGAACATTTTTTCCCCCCCAATGGCCACAATTACAGAAGCCTAAAACTAAATGAATCTGTGCTACATATGTTCCACTTGTTTATTTAAACAACATAATTGCATTTAATTTGACCAATATTCTAATGTGTTCAACTACAACTACAACACTGCTTCCATCTGTTTAACAGTTTGTTATTCAATCACTTAAATGTTGTCACGTTTTTTCTTTTGTTTGTCAAATATCAGATTTTTCATGCTGCCGACTGCTTTTAGGAAAAAAAAATAATAATAACAAAAATGAAGAAAACACCGGATAAACTTTAAAATGTCTGACCTTTCCTTAAGCACTTTAAATATGTTATTCCCAAGATTTGAATGTTTTTATTGTGTTACAGGTGAGGCGCTGTCAGTGACAGGAAATTTCTTCTCAGCAGGGAATCCATCTTGAAAGGTTCCAAATTACCACAAATGTATGACAGCATGCTTTTTGTAAACTCATTCATGTGTCTGCGTACATAGATAAGTGAATAAATAAATACATTGTGATAAAAAAAAGATAAATCCTCCGGTTGATAGAACTGACAACATGTTCTTAAACAGTTTCCTGTGACAATAATTTTCTCAAAAAGACAGAAAGTTAAAAATTATACCAATACGTTTTTTTTTTTTTTTTAAATCAAATAAAACAAGTTCAGTTCAGGTATTTTGGATTCATAGCAGAAACTGACCCTTTTCTGAGAAACAAGTAAAAATATCAAATCAAGTCCATTCGATTCTGGCCATTAAAACATGCATAGATATGATTTTTTTTATTAACGAAATCTGCTATGGTACAAACTTTTAAACAAGTTAGAATCCTTTCGTAAGCCGAAGTCTTCGTTGATCCTTCGATCTTGGTGATGGTTCTTTTCAAATATCCGATAGGAACTCAGTCAATACCCAATAAAAAATATCTTTGAAAGTACAAGAATGAAACGCATTTCATTATGCAAAAAGCATAGTCGGTTACTATTTTTCTAATATTGGCAAAGGGATAACTGTAGTCATGCCAACTGTGTAGTGATCTCAGCTGCACCCAGAAGTGCATCTGTAAGCAGATCACATTTAGGCCATAATCTGTGCCCTGTACAAAAGGCTAATCACACTTTGAATTGGAGAGACATTTGATGCACCGCAGGATAGAGTGTTCTCTCCTTTTTTCCCCTCACAATTACAGTGACACAAATAACAATGCCATTTTAATCCAATTCCTCCTCACAACGCTTCCCTGTCCTGCATTCAGACTTAAAATCCTCTATGAAGGAATTAGAAGTTTAGATTTGTATGTTGGGTTGGTGCCAATTCAACATTTGTATCCTATACTAGGTAGAACTGATTAAATTGGATTACATGGTGGACATATTTTCCTGCTAACTGTTAAGTGAACTTTGAGACCCCCAGAGGTTTGGGAAGGAAGGTTTAAAAATAATGCCAGCATTGAGTTTGGTTGGCTCATATTTAAAAGTTTGCAATCACGCTAACTGTTAAAAGGAAAGTAGTAGGTGATGATTGGATTTATTATGCCCAAATGCTTATTAATAATGCAACTTTTATTTATTTTATGGTTGAATCTGCACAAATCTGACTGTATGAAATGTAGAATTAGATGAATGGACGGAGAATCAATAAAAATTTTAGACAAATTGATAGATAACAGAATCCTTATTCTATTCCATTTTAATTTAGTCTTGAATTCCCGTCATTCAAAGAACATCATGTTTGCTCTTTCATGAGCAGTTTCTCTTGTGATCTGCCTGCTTTCATTTCTACCTGGTCAATCTTGTGGTGCATGAACACAGAAACACACAGGACAGACAAAGTTAACATTGTTTTGTAAGAGCAGCACCAGTACCTGGAAAAACCCCTGGATGCATCAGGAGAACAACGAAACCCGACAAACCATCTTGGTGTTAGCCGAGAGCACTTTTTAAAAGGAAGAAGTTGAAGCTTTATAATTAGATAACTGTAACAGAAAAACATGCAAAGGCATATTCTCTAAATGGTGTACTGGCGAGGCCTGACATTGATTTTAAATGTTGGTTCCCTGCCAAACAAAGTTTTGTCCTTTCACTTCCCAGCATCAGCTCCTGATTCCAGGCCCCTTCTCCATCTGTAACACCCTGGGCCTCCTACAGCTCACGTTCCCCGGACTAATCTCCACCCGCTCAATGTTGTTCAATTAGATTCCAGTTGACATTCATTGGAAGTAGGCACTCCTCCTTGTAATTCAGCCCTCTTTATAGCCAATCTATTTTTTAATAAAGGTTCAGAGGAAAACATTAAAGTATTGATCTTTATTTATCGACCCCGGCCCAAAGCATAGTTAAAGCTGACACAAATCAATCAAAATAAATTTAAAATGATGATAGCACATATGAGGAGCCTGGCCGCCTGTTTCGGGGAGTAATTAGGGGGCTTGGCAGAGGGGAACCTAAGGCAATAAGAGTAACAGTAACAGACACACAGAAGCGCTCCCAGCAGCAGAACGAGTTGCAGAACTGTTTAGCAGAGCGCAGATTAGAAATTTGTTTTGCATTAAATGAGACGACTAAGAGGCAAGGTTAATGAAAGGGCACAGCACTTTGGGGCCGTGGTAATCCACTGAAACCCTCTCTTCATGACTCTAATGCCCAGTCCACTCTCTCACACACACACACACACACACACGCACATACAAAGAGAGAGAGAGACAACGCCATGAGGCTGCCTCTGGAACATCCTCGGCTTAGCAAAAACAATGGGTATTAATTTTAAAAAGTGAGTGAGAAAAAAGCTGGTGGAAAAAGCTGGTTGATTATCAAGCGTGAGATAGGGAGTCCACCAGCTCCCTGTGCATTAAATAAATTTAATCTGCCTGGTGACGTCCACTCATTGAAGAGGTCAGAAAATGAAGAGGGCAGAAAATGCTCATTCTCAGTGCACATGTGGGACCTAACTTCATACAACAAATGCATTCTAGGACACCTGGCACCTTGTTCGACTTTTATTGAAGACCAATTCAGTCAAACACTGCAAGCACAGTCATTGTGAGGAGGCAGCATTTCAGATAAAACCCCTACATAAAGAAAGGAGGAGGTTTGCAGCTGTTTTTGCAATGTTGTGTCTTTAGACAAATTTTGCTCTTTGTTTACAGCTCCATATATATCTGCACATACAAGCAATTCTTAAGGCTAACCGCACCTGTATCAAGGTAATCTCTGCTTTCATTACCCAAACGCTACCACGGTTTGCACAGATATTTTCGGACACTTGGCTCATCGCATGCCGCTGCTCAGAGCCCATTGTCACCTTTCAGTGTGCAGATTAGTCCAAAAGAGCTACTTGTGGCAGTTAAATGTAATAAATGTTTTCAAATGCATCTTCCTAGAGTTTAGGGGAAAAATAAAGAAGACGGTTGTTAAACCTTGTGTCTAAAACAGATATTCAACACTGGATTCATAAGTTTAAAGTCAACAGAATGACGGAAGCATGGATAGATATATGATGGATAGATGATGGCTGGAATCACTTCCCATCAAAATATAAGTTACAGAGCATTTCTCTGTGCACATAAACCTAAAGGTAAAGATAAACCTGTACAACAATGAAGACAAAGTATTTTTTCAAAAACAGCAAAAAGCACCTCAGAGGCACTTAAATTACAGCAAACTGCTGCATTGCTGAACTTTGCTCCTGGACCTTAGCTGATGCATTTGTAGCTTTAAGTGGCCATATATGCCATTTTATTCATCATTCACTGGTCAAATAAAGACCATTTTGTTTTACATTAAAAGAGTAAAATCCAATGATTGAGAGAACAGTTCACACAAACTGCTGGCTGACTTTGGATTCTTGTCTTGACTGTCAGGATCCAGCAGAAATGTAAACATTTACAGAATTTCTTGCTTCCTTAAAGTCCTCACCAGTTAAATTGCCTGTTCTGCACTGAACATATACAACCTACAGCCCCAACACCTGAACTCAATTCATCTTGCCACGTTTAGTTCCGATCCTCTTTTGTCCAGAAAATTTCTCCATTTGCTTAGGCAAAGATCCTCGGTCGAGTGAACCATTTCAGCTCGGTTGAGATATTAATGAGTTTACAAGGACCTTCCCGATCTAATTATGTCGAGCAACTGCTGCCTCTTACTGGGCCACGGCTCCCCGGGGAGAACACAAATCTACCAGGCAAGCAAAACTTGCCTACTTTTGACAAAACACTCGACAAGCGAGGATGCAAATAATGTTGAGCATTCTTCATAAACACCACTGGAACGTCACAGGCGAGATTAATATCACCGCCTACCGACGCCACCCCAAATTTAACCTGAAAAATACCCAACTTTGGCTTTAAGACAAGGGCTATTAGTGAAGGGAGGGTTGCTGAAGCTCGGGGAGGAAGCTAAGCACCCTTGAGGGGAGACGGTGAAAAAGAAGAGAGAGAAGTGTTGTAAACAGCGTGAATGTGATTGGATGTGACCTTTGTGCTGGCTGAACTATTTAACATGTTCGTGAAAGTTTCTCAACCTTGCTGACATTTGAACAATGCCGGTGTCAGTGGAGTCTA